GCCACTGCCATCAGTGTATGAATGTGTGTGAATGGGGTGAGTGTGGCATGTAGTGTACAGCGCATTGAGTGGTCGAAAGACTAGAAAGACTTTATATACTGTAAGTACAGTCCATTTACCATTCTCCTTAAAAAGACATCTACTACCTAATTCTTATACTTAAGTTAATTCCAGAAATTATGAATATGCAAATACTGTTTTCAAAATGTTTCCTGCTGGACCTGCTGTTGACTTCCAAACTACTTGTGATGTAACAAATCATGCTCATAAGCCGTTTAAAAGACCAGTGTGCAGTGATGGTGTACTTGCAAATTGGAACCAACTTGCCTCACCCTCCCTTTCCAAGTATGTAGGAAAAAATTTGGTGACTGAAAAAATTCATGAAAAGAGCCAGTGTTTGGTTTGTCCATTCTGGGCTACTGTAGAAACATGGTTTAAAATCAGATTTTCAGTGATTCTCCTGATTCATGTTCCTCCAATGTGTTCACCTGAATCTGACAGAGAAAACCACAATAGATAGAGCCCTCAAATTTTTATGAATATCACTTTGGGTTCAAGTGTAGTTTTACCTTAAATTTACTGGACTATTTCTTGCTCAAGACTGGCAACTTCTGGAAATTTCTTCTGGTTGCGAGGCAACTGATACCTTTTAAATTGATCGCTTTCCTGAGAAACACTGAAGTTTCAGAAGTATAAAGATTTGTAAAGAAAGAAAGCATGTAGTTGTGATGAAAAATGTATGTATGCTATGAAAATGGTTATATAGTGCTCTCAAAGAATCTGTGGAAGGACAAAAACACCATTACTCCACTATATCAAATAGTTGAAAAAAGACTTCTCTGTTCCGACAAATGCTGTCTTTCTCATCTAAGTCATCATCTGTGAATTAAGGATTTTTGTATTTTTTTAAAAAGAAAAAGAACAAAAACAGCAGCAGAATAGTAATATTAAGCAATTAAATAAAAACAATAAAGACATATAATTCATATTTAATTCATTAATAATTACTAGAAATAGATAGTTATACTTCTCTTCTGACCTCTTATCACCCCGCCCCCTTGTATATCACTGAGGGCTGATGGGAACTAGAATTGACACAT